TTTTATATCTGCCATATGTTATAAATTTTTTATTTGTAAAACATTGTCAACTGAACAGCGGGTGCTTTTGCTTTTTCCATATTACTTGTCAACCTGATTCTCTCTTTCATGAATATCTCTAAAACTGCTCATCACTATTAGATTACTATTATGTACTATTAGATAATATGCATACATGGTTTACATCTGTGCATGTTAAGTACCTAATTTGCATAATGTTAGCAACATTTTTGTTTTGTTATTTTTCTGGTTTTGTATATAGGTGATAATTAGTCCCAGTTCAGGCGCAGGAGAATTTCTAAAACGGGTTTTGTCAATGTCCATTTCCGAGCAAGTCTCTGCTGAGTATGCACATAATTGTTTTTCCAGATCTGAAAATCTTAAGTAGGTCTTTTTCAAGATTTTCATCCAAACTTACCTCTCCATACTGCACTGACAGAGCAACTGAGCATACTCAGAATAAATAATTAGCTTAGATTGTAATGCTAGGGTTTTTAGTGATGTCATGACCTTGATATGAGTCAGTGACAGATGGGTTATATATAATTGTATCATTACCAATCAAAGTGGAAAATGTTGGAGGTGTCAGGGCTACATTTTGATGGGAATTATAGTGGTGATAATGAAACAAACCCATGTGTGGTAATATACAAAGACCTGAATTAACAAAGAATTCAAGTTGTTATTAAAGGTTCATCAAGGTTTACTCGGATTTATGAGTGCAGTTTCTTGAGCATGTATGAGATAAGTTTGGTTGCACTTGTGTACTCTGAGATTTTGGACCCCGGTCAAAGAAAGTAGAGTACATATTAACTCAATTGTTTGCAGATGTTCCATGTATTATTTTATAATTAAATAATGGGGGCCGTGACATTCATGTCTTGTTCATAAACTTTTTTTATTTAATATGTACTGAACGACAAAACAATTATTCGATACAAGTCTTACAACTGTTCTGCTCTGAGAAATCTGAATATTTTTATGTACTGAACGACAAAACAATTATTCGATACAAGTCTTACAACTGTTCTGCTCTGAGAAATCTGAATATTTTTTATATTTATTATAATAATCATTTGCATAATTTTTTACTCCAGTGCGCGAAGCCCACAATGGGAGTCTTTGCGGTTAGTGTGTCTGTGTGTGTGTGTCTGTTCCACTAATACCGGTATCTCAAGAACCAATTATCAGATTTTAATGAAACTTGGTACATGTACATAGATGTTCTGCGATAATGGTCAGACCTGATTAGTTTTTGGTTAAAATCCGTGCATATTAATCACATAATTTGCCTATCAAATAACCGATTTTAAGCATTTTCACTTGCTTCTCATGTACTGTACTTCCCTGATCATAAGCCCAGGGGCCTCAACATGTAAAATCAGGGAAAGTAAGTGGTGGGCTTATACTCGAGGACCACCTCAGAGAAGAACATTGTAATCATCATACTACCCACAAAAAATTATCCAAATTTGATTTTTTTGTGCACCATGCCTGGCTCAAAGGGAATATTACGTCTTTTTGTAGACAAAAAAAATACAAAATGAGTCATCATTGATTTCCACAACACTTTTGCAATGAAGAAACAAACATACAGTGTAGGATACCATACAGCAAGGTTAATAAA